TTTTTGGTGTGATTTTACCAATGTTTACATTAGCTATTTTTTTTATATGATTATACTTATGCTTAAGATATATTTATCTTGTGATAATTTTGATAAAGATACTTAGAGTAATGTGACTAATTTTTAATGTGATTTTATCAATGTTTAAAATATCCATTTTTTTTATATGATTATACTAATGCTTAAGATATATTTTATATTGTGATAATTTTGATACAGATACTTAAGGTAATGTGTCTATTTGTTTTTAGTTCAGTGATGTACCTTTACTGGGATAATTTTGAAACAAATACTCAGGATAATGTGGCTATTTTTTGGTGAATTTATAAATGTTTAAATTATCTTTTTTTTATATATGATTATACCAATGCTTAAGATATATTTATATTGTGAAAATTTTGAAAAAGATACTCAGGATAATGTAATTGTATCAATGTTTAAATTATCTTTTTTTTATATGATTATACCAATGCTTAAGATATATTTTATGTTGTGATAATTTTAAAACATTTTTTTAGTGCAATTGTATCAATGTTTAAATTATCTAAAAAAAAAATTGGGGTTATACCAATGCTTAAGATGTATTTTATATATGATACATATTCATCATATACAGGAAAATGTTTGTCTTTTTTTATTTACTGTACTAAATAAATGATTGAATTCGAAACTGTTGTTTTGTTTTATCATTCTAATGCAACTATTAAGGATAGGATCTACTTGTGCGATTCAGTTATATATATTTATAAGATTCCACTCTCTTTAATAGTATTAGGCAGTGTCGTATACTTGTATAACTCCCAACCCATATACATATGTTGGTACACATGGGTAAGATGTATGAAAATGATGTACGCATTTGATTCAGTTAGCAACTTGATCCTGTACTATATAGATGCTACTTATTCATTGATCTAAAGAACACAGTCGTTATCATTAGCAGCAAAGTTGACACTCTCTGATTGATAATAAAACTGCTCTCTCGTATAGCAATGTCATAAGGTTCAGTACGTTAATGATACACTTGCTATGTGTTAAATGTAATTAACTTAAAGTAATATGAGGATTGAGTATATCCTAAACAAGAGAAAATGTGTGAAAATGTCTTTTGACTACCATCTCCATTTATCACAACTGATAGTTGTGATTTTACAGGCTTTGGACTGTCTGACATATATTGTCAGGCTGGATTAGAGTCAACCGTCCGTCCGTCAGTCATTTGTCTCTCTTGTTAACCATGCCGTATGAACAGGAGCTCTACCGCTTCCTCATAGGAAATATGGTCTTCCAGACACACCTGTTCTACCCATCGACGCGTCTCGGAGATCATAGTAGCGGAAAGCATTTGTCTTTTCTCTCTCATCTTCATTATCAAATGATGCTCCCTTTCATAAACAGGAGCATCCATATCTTCTCTATGTGTAGCCACACATAGTTTAAGCTCCTTATGTAGAGTTGCATCACGATGTAGTCCTAATTTGTGGAGGATTATTAGAGATCGCTGAAATTTTTCACGCCACATTGTAGCAGTACTACTGTCATTAATTGTCCAGTGAAAAGTGAATAGAAAGTGGTTGTGTACGTTACTTTACACCTATTTGTCCTACAGTATATAATTATAGATACGGAATGTTTCACTTATCAATTACTATTTTTTTCATCTCATGAATAACAAATATCGAGTGTGGTTAGATGCGTTAGTTTTGACCTACATATTATCAAGTACTTTCATCTTCATGGTACACATATACCTACATCTCCGAGCTATCATTGTTTCAAGTACTTTTCATCCAAATACTTTCATGAAGTATTCCTATTGATTTACATATTATCAAGTACTTTCAGCTAAAAGGCAAAATTATTCCTACATCTCTGAGCTATCATTGTTTCGAGTGCTTTTCATCCAAATAAATACTTTCATCTTAATGGCAAAATTATTCCTACATCTCCAAGCTATCTGATTCAGGTACTTTTCATCCAAATACTTTCATAAAGTATTCCTACTCCCTAGAGCTACTTTCTTGAACTGATCTATCTGAGCGTGTGCCTTTGAAAGCGTCGAAAATTCTTCTCACTCACTATATATATACTCCTAACCGATGGGGACTGTTAGGGACTGACATATGGACCTTTTAGGAACTTTAAGGGACCAAGAGGGACTTTTTAGGTATCTAGAGGGACATAGAAGGACTTTTTAGGGACCTAGAGGGACCTTTTGTTACCTGTAAAATACGTCTATTCTTTGGAACAAATGAGGGTACTTTATAGCATTCAGATTGTTTTACACGATAAGATGAGTTGCGCAGTTGTGACCCAACAAATTTACAGAAGTTACACCATTCCCCATCTGTAGAGGTGACCAGGTATCTGTCACGAGCTTTAGTCTTGTTTCTGTCAACATATAAGTACGCCAGGTCTCCAATGCTGAGGTGATGGGACGAAGGGTATAAACCACTAGGGCACTTTGACAGCTCACGCGACTGGTGGTTACTGGCTCGCAAAGAGTGGTGTTGCCGTTGGATACGGTCTGTGTCCTGGTATTTGAACATTGAAAAACTGAACCTTTTGAGTCCACATTTCTCTAGAGGAAAGGCTCCTGTTGCGAATGAGTTCATTCGAGCTGTAGCCAATGACAATGCAAGAGGTATTATAGAACGGCAACCAGGGTCTTGACGTAGGATCTCATTTTCTAGCTCGAGGATACATTTTTCTGCAACTGGATTCTTGTTTTTATTTTTAACCCTGTCAACCTCTATGGCTATTCTGTGATGTTGCAGAAGCTTGTCTTTGCACAAGGACACGAACCCAGGAGCAGGGTCTGTTCGAATGACTGCAAACGGGCGGTCTAGGGGATGTAACTCTGCGCATAGTTGGAGAAGGGCATCTCTGAGAGTGTCGCGTTGCTCGTTTTCTATCAGAGAAGTGACAGTGTAAGATTTGTTTGTTTGTTTGTTTGTTTGATTTTGTTTAACGTCCTATTAACAGCTAAGGTCATTTAAGGACGGCCTCCCCTGTGTGCAAGATGCATGACACATTCGCGGAGCACCAAACGTGCTACCAACTGTTTCTGGAGGGGATGAGCTTTCTTGTGGTATTACAGTATGCGGCACATTTTCAGGGCAGAACACTGATGACATATTCGAGTGACCTGGTCAATTAACTTGTCCATGTCCAAAGCAAAGAAATATCGATGAACAACACTCTTCAGTTGGTGGGCGGAAGGGTGGTCAAGCTTGATGTGCAATGATGTCAACAGGCCATCAATGACACTCCGCGGAACAATGATACACTCGCGGGATGGGAGTAATGGAACGTTTACTACCATCAAACCGTCTTTGGCAGTTGACGCGACCTGGATATAACGTTTGACATCGCGAATGCCTGTAAGTGTCTTTGGTGGACGGGTGCCCTGACGAAGATGAGCTTTGGCACGAAGCAAATCAGAACATTCTGATTGTATTGAATTCCATGTACTTCTCCCGGCAAACGGTAGTTTAAAGATGCCATCTTGAACATTCTTGATGTTGACATTCCTAACAGTAGAATCCTCAGCAAAGCGTACAAATGAACAGTCTGGCAGGAAGGATCGTCACAGGCAGGGGCATTACGACTTGCAAAGTCGGAAGGCAAAATGACCACACCTGCAACATGCCTGATAGATACCTGATACCTGCTGGCCATGGATAAAAATGTTGATACACGAGGGTTTACTGTCAGTTAGAACACAAGCACGATGATCAATCTGAATAATGTAGGGACTGAAGTGCTTTATGGCCGTGGCAATGGATAAGGCTTCAATTTTACAGGGTAGCCAAATGACTTGGCGATTGCGAAGCTTTGCACTGAAAAATCCAGCTAGGCGTGTGACCTTGTTCCGAGAAACATACAAGGTTGCCCCAAGAATTTATCTAGTTTACAATGGTTAAAGATGAAATCTTTGCATCCAAACCATTAAGGGAGGCTTCCTGGTATTTTCCTTTGCAGTCAGCTGGCGGTTAACCTGGTTTTTGGCAACAAAATAAAAAAAAACCTTACTTTTATCGAGTTATTGTGCTAATAAATGAAATCCCTGACCCTCAAAACATGTATTTAGACCCAAAAATCTTTTGAAACGGACATCTAGAAGCAAAGATATGTATTTTTATGATATACTAGACGCCGGGTGGCGGCCGTTTTGAATTTTCGCGTCTGATCGAGTTAGCCCACATTTTCACGAGGTTGACCCCATCTCATTTTGATCAGCACCCTCAAATTGACCAAAATCAACTTTCAGACCATGGTCCCGGAAAAGTGGTCACGGAACCCCATTGAGGGAACTCTACTAATACGTATATGTACAACAAAAGTAAAATTTATGAATGTATTTTAGCTTATGGACTATACAATGTCTTAAAAATTTAGCTTGCAAACAACATTTCGTATAATTGTATGACACCAGGTAGGCAGTTAGCTTCACAAATGAAAGGTGGACTTGAAGTTGCTGATGCCTAGTTTTTAATCCCCATCAACTCGGATGTCGTTCGATCCAGGAAAGGGGGGGGGGAGTCCAGGTCACTGCATGAGACAGGCACGCCAGAGATCCGCATGTCACACGTCATTGTTTAACGTTTAAAACATTAAAGTGCAAAATAAGAACTTTCATCATTTTAAACATTGGAAATTATATAGCTTTTACAGTCATACTGGATTGAGTTCCAAAAAACACTTAACGGTTAATTTTTCTACATTTATTAGATTTGATCCAAATAAATTACATTTTTTTCAGTGTAAGTTGCCCGGCCGAATAAGTGCAATCAAGCTCGTTCAAAGTGCTATCAAATACATCATTCCATTTTCCATTACAAATGTTTGAGGTATTATGCAGAACTATTGACAGTTAGACATTTTCGTGGACGCAATCCAATATCACTGTAAACAACTTTAGTAGGCTAACAGACTTAGTAACAGTGTCTTATTAACAAACTGATAGCAATAACCAAATAAATACATATCAGCTACTTTTATTTATTAATCAATGCCCTAAGCAGATCTGCCATCATCTTGGCCTGCTGCTGCCTTTCTTCCTTTTCTAGGTTAAACCGCTCTTTCTGTAATGCCAGTTCTGCCTTCCTTAGCTGGAGTTCCTGTTGCCGTATGTTGGTTTCTGTGTCATTTTTCTCCTTTAGGTAATTAGTGATGACACTAGTGCTATTCTGATTCCGGGGTCTTTCGCTTGGCGTGTCCTCCTAACCACCTGGAAATAGAAATAAGTAGAATTTCCGAATAACATTGTGCTGATTACATTGATGATATTAAGCAGGTTTTTACATTTCATTAAGGCAAAACAGTATAAGCATAGCATATTAAAGATGCATTCCCAGAGTTTTGCGCAGAAAACTTGTAAAATACGGAATTTAGACTGTTTTGGTTATTTTTCCTGAATAGGAAATGTTCTGGCCTTTCCTTTAATACCATCCACGGCGAAAAACTCTTATCAATGTCAACAGTGACCATAGACCTTGACCTAGACCTTAGAACCCTCAAATTCGAACTCATCTGAGGTATTCCCATACTTCCCTATAAAGGTTGTCAAATTAAAATCTGTTTAAAAATTAAGTTAGTCGCTAGAGGGATGACAAGACATGGTTATTTTAACATATTTATTTCCGTCAGAGGACAAAGTTTATCAATATATAGTCTCAGTTGCTGGTCATGACTGGAGATGAGAGAGCATTGTGGGGAGTTCTGTTCTCCTGTGAGGGGGTGGGTGTGTCTTGGGAGAGGGGATGGGGGAATTTTGGCTTTTATTAAAAGGATTAATGCCTTGAGGGGGAGTTCCCCCCCCCCCCCCTTCCCCCAAAAGGGCATGATTGGGGGAGTCTCCCAACGCTGGGGGAGAGTTTGCAGGCTTGCTAATAATGCATGTAAATAAAATAAAGTAAATAAAGCCCACTCTCACAGTATAAATAAGTTAAATTGGTTGTGTTTTAGTCTTCACATTACCCATACACCCTAATTATTTAATGGACCAAATATAGGCTTACTTTTGCTTAGAGTTATCATGGCCCTTTTTCTAATTTGTTGGCCACTCTGCTCCTCACGTTCCACCCTGTCATTCTCCTTTTGTCTCGTCCTTTCCTCCTCCTCAGACAGCTCCAACATATCGTCCAGGAGTTCTTCCCTCTCGGTATAGGCTTCATCGACACCAGTTCTGTAATTATATAAAATAAGTAAAATACTCTTTATATAAAAAAAATATATTATAAAAAGAGTGGTTATTAGAGAAAAATGCATGTTATACATGTGTGTGTTTGTTAGTCAGTTAATTAAAATTATGGCCATTTTTATTGTTTTCACATACCGGTATTCCGTACACTGTCACATATAAAAGGCCAATCTTGAAACAATTAGCATTGCCAACATTAATACTCATGAGTTCAATGTCTTAAAATGGATTAAAATGATTTAACCAAAAAAAAAAAAGCAAAGCTTATTCTCAATTTCAGACATATGTGGGGGAAAAGGGAGACAACATGTAAGTAAAGTTACAGTTACACATACATACAAGATGAAATATTTGGAATTTGGAATTTAATGTTTCCTTTCCTTTCGTTGAAGATATTTCATTTCGTTTTGTTTCGTTTTGTCATTCATTTTACGCTTTACAAGTTTACAGGGACCTACTTTTTTTTTAGTAAAGTCAAAACTAATTAGGCGGGTGATATTTAAACATTTCTCGAATAAATGCTACAACCTAGAAATTATGAACTTTTATAATGTTGCCTGCATGGTCAACTTACTTTTTTTGTGATGAGGCGGGTTTTTTTCTTCTCTTTTTTGCTCTCTCTCTGACTCGACGGACATCACATCCACTTGGCATTGCAGCGCCAATATCCTGCCATAGTCCACGGTTTTTGTATGGATTCTTCCCCAAAACCTCTCGCATCAGAAACAGGTCGTCCTTTTCGGAAAAGCGGATTAGCTTTTTTCTTTCACAAGCCTGTAATACATTAACGCATATGAATTAATTACAGATTTGTATATATTTGTAGTAATTTTGTACAAAATATAAATACCGCATAGATGTAGGATGAGCAGTGGGGGTGATGGTGGGGAGGGGCAGGGTTGTATGGATTGGGGGTTTAGTGGTTCACTCGGGTAGGTAAGTAAAGGTAACGCGACAAACGCCTAACGGTGTGTGTGTTGGGGGAGGGGAAGGGGAGTTGAGGTAAATATATATGTATAAGGAATAAAAATATGATTATCACAGTGTAACTGTTCCCTCTGACTTTCAAATCTGAGACCAGTGTCCATTTTGCATATTTTAAATATTCTGTTGTAATAAATAACAATAGACTGTCTTTAAAAACTGGGGGTACAATTTCCAATCTGGCGATACTAGCCCTCATTTTTGGGAACACTGATCTGACTAGAACGAATACCCTGCCTCACTGCATACCCCAACCGGCAAGGACAATCCATAATAAAGTATCCGTCCCTTGTTTTGAACTACGACATCGCTATTTAGTATGATCTATTCTGTGTGTGTGTGTGTGTGTGTGTGTGTGCTTAACATTTGAAATAAATAATGTTTTTGGTTAGAGAATATAATTTTGGCCATTATCCGAAAGGGTGTCTACACCTGAACATTTTTGACAACAGCACACGATGCAAAATTGCAAAAAATCCAGTTGAACGACCTATACTGGGACACGGATAATTCTGCAACAAGAACGTAATCTTAAATTTAAGACAGAACTTAGGAAAAAAATACTATTTGCGGGGGTCAATTTTTGGGTCAAATATGGTGTTTTTGGCATTTTTAGTAATTTTTGATGTGGTAACCATGGTTTTCACACAAGTGACATACATAGAAAAAAGAGGTTTATACACTTCTCAGTGCTTTGTATGTATTGCAAATATAATGCAGTTTACAAATATATATGTGTTGTGTTGGGTAAATCCGCTGTGTTTACATTTCTTAGACATGTGCCTTGTTTTTCAGAGTCGTGCCATTTTTACTGAACACTGCTACCTTAGTTGATACATATATGCCAAAGTCGCCGTACGCATGGAATATTCAGAGAAAGTATTTTTCTCCTGCCCACACAACTCCAACAACCCAGGTGGAGTATAAAATGGTCTGGGGTGGGTGTTGCGGTATCTGTGCTGTAGCATTCAAGTGAGGTGGCACTATAAATGATACCGTTGGAAGCATGGTCCCACTACAAACAGAACACAATATATGTACATCTCAAGCACACACACAGGCATACACACATAGGGAGATATTAGCCAGGTGGCATAGGAATAGTAGTTAGCGCCTGATAAGGCAGCTCCTGCGAATTCCTCAATATTGTATTGATTCATATATATGCTAATTGTATTGACTGTATAAAATTGTATATCTATGTACTGTAAAGCGCTTTAGAGTGGCTTATGTTAGCTAGATAGGGCGCTATATCAAATGTTGTATATTTATTTTATTTTTATCTTATATGAAAACGGATGTTTATGTTCATCTTCAACTGAAGTTTGATTTTTTTTTTAGAAGAAGAATTAAGAAAAAAATCAAAAAAAAAAATCTTAGAACATGCCACATTAATAACACCGTAACTTTTCAGTTCAAAGCATCCCATCCACAGCTTCCATGACAAACTCTACTACTGCTTGCTAAAATTATATTTCAAATATGTACAAACAATATTTAAATCTCATTTAACAGTAATCAACATAGCGGTTAAATCGTCGAAAGGGCGAGCAATCCATCTATCCATCATGAATATTATATATACACAACATGTTGTCGTACCTCTTATTCGTTCACAAAATGTCTAATGGTGAGCAATAAATCAATCCATCATGAATACATATCCCGAAAAGATGGCGGCCTTTACATCGCATTATCTACAAAATAACTCCGCCTTCCTTAAGTCACGTAACATTTCTCATGACATTGACAAGTTTGTAAGTGCGCACTTTCGCAAAAACAACTAACCCTAACCCTAACCCTATTGTTTAACATCAACGGAATCTATAATGTCATATACAAGCATCTTATATAAAATTCCTTAACTACTTAAATTCAAACCACAATAACAGTTTAAAAATTATGTCCTCTCATTTGACCGCTTACAGTTGTTAAAGTGTATTATTACACAGATTTTTTTTTCAATAATACACATTAAAACGTTAAAATATATTTCGACCAACCGAATATTCAAGATAATATCAACTGGTACAACAGCTCTAAAATGTCCAAACCAATTACTGATGAAATGATATAATTAAATGCATATTATTAAATGAGAATTCATGAGAGTAAAAATAAATTTTCTTTCCTTGCAGTTCATTACCATATGTACAGATGTTGACGATGACTTCATATCATCTCAAGTTCCAATAGCAGAAACACAAATCCAGAACGGACTGCAGCCAAGTCTGGAAAATACGCCAATAGAGAAAAATACCGTAAAAGACAACGATGATGACACAAAAGACGGTGATGGAAATGAAGATGAGGTAAATTTTAATTTTAACCAATGAAAATTCATCCATATATATCTACAAATAAATCAATCTCATAAACAGATGAAATGATATAATTAAATGCATATTTTTAAATGAGAATTCATGAGAGTAAAATAAATTTTCTTTGCTTGCAGTTCATTACCGTATATACAGATGTTGACGATGACTTCATATCATCTCAAGTTCCAATAGCAGAAACACAACTCCAGAACTGACTGCAGCCAAGTCTGGAAAATACGCCAATAGAGAAAAATACCGTAAAAGACAACGATGATGACACAAGAGACGGTGATGGAAATGAAGATGAGGTAAATTTTAATTTTAACCAATGAAAATTCATCCATATATATCTACAAATAAATCAATCTCATAAACAGATGAAATGATATAATTAAATGCATATTATTAAATGAGAATTCATGAGGGTAAAAATATTTTTTCTTTCCTTGCAGTTCATTACCGTATAAACAGATGTTGACGATGACTTCATAACATCTCAAGTTCCAATAGCAGAAACACAACTCCAGAACTGACTGCAGCCAAGTCTGGAAAATACGCCAATAGAGAAAAATACCGTAAAGGACAACGATGATGAAGATGATGGTAGTTATACATAATGGACATTGTGTCCACTAGAATAATGTCTTCGGGTTATTAGTTTAGTATAAGTTAGCACTAATTTAGCATATCCAGGGTTAGAATTGGAAGGTGAGGGTAAGATTCAAGTTTGCGTAAGATGTAACGATTTTAGCATAGATGGTACTTTTGCAGCAGAAGCAGGGTGGTACTTTTGCAGCATAAGCAGGGTAAGGGTTAGGATTAAGGTTAGAATTGTGCTATCTGGTAACTTTCCTATGCTGTATTGGTAACATAAAGCTATTTTTGTTACATGAGGTTAGGGTTAGATCCAAACCAGCATAAGATTACTTCATTATGCTGTATTAGTAACATTAAGCTATTTTGTTACTCAGGGTAGCGGGTTAGGGTTAGATCCAAATTAGCATAGATGGTACATTGTTAGCATAGTTTGTTACACATTTAGCATATCGTATTTAGGATTAGAACTCGACTATATTTGTTCGTTCTTATAATCAAACAGGGTCGATGAAAGATGAGGATAAGGAGGAGCGCAATGACCAGCATGAGCAGGTGTGCAATGACCAGGTGGATGAGGTGTGTAATTACCAGGATGACGAGGAGTGTAATAACCAATATGATGAGGAGTGCAAAGACCAGGATTAGCAAGAGTGTTATGACCAGGACGATAAGGAGTCCAACGACCAAGATGATGAGAAATGTAATGAAAAGGATGAGGATTTGTTCAATGACCAGGATAACAAGGAGTGCAAAAACCAGGAGGCGAAATATGTTGGTGACCAACCCCTATTTTATGACAGTTGGGACTCTGATATCATCCCACCTACACCGCCGAAAGCAAGGGTTAGCGTTAGCCAAAAGCAAACAAGAAATCAATTGCAAACAGGACAACGGAATAGATAGATTGCGACATATGCAGAAAAGCTCAGAGTAACATTTGGCGACACATGCGCGGAGTTCACCATTTAAAAGTGGGAAAAGCAAAGGTTTTGAAGACAAAGAGTGGATATATCGTCTATGTGTGTTCAATCAAGGGGTGCGACAAACCAACAGCAAGACTTAGAGACCACTTCATAAACGAGCACGGCATTCAGAAAGAAGGAAGAAGGAGCCTGAAGACCTTTGCATCTACTTTGCCGGATGACTACTGTGGAGACGATAAACCGACTGAAAGACAGAGAAGCAGGAAGAAGAGAGATATATGGCCACCGACAAACCAGCCATCGTGTATGGAGATTTTAGTGGATTCATCTGTTGAAGTTACTGCATCCAGACCTACACAGGAGAAAGTGATGTCAAAACCTGCTCAAAAGGATGATATGACCGAAGCTGCCATGAAAGAAAGAGAGACGCAGAATACAGCGATTTCAAAACCTGCTCAAAAGGATAATACGACTGCTACTGCCATGAAAGAAGGAGAGAGCAAAGAGTCGGAAGAATCAGACGAAACAGACGACGAGTCAAACGGTGAGGTGAAAGACGTAAAAGAAACAAGAGGCCCAAGGGCCTTAGCGTTCACCTAAGTTATATCATAGGTACTGGTAGCTTTATTTTATTGTTCAGATGTGATGTGGAAATCAGCATGTAAACTAAGTGAAATACGATACTAATGTCATGTCATCAAAGAATAAGAATTCGAAAATATTGGTAAATGTCCCTTTGGGGCTCCGCCCTAGCCCCTGGAGATCGGGCAGGAATCCTAATTTTACAATGTAATACCCTCATTCATCAAAGATAATTCTCACCAAGTAAAAATAATTTCCTGCAGAAAGATGTCAAAATATACCCAAAAGTGTTATTTCCCTATATAAACTATAGTAAACTTTACCCCCAGTTTTGAAATATTGGTTAATTTTCCCTTAAGGGCCCCGCCCTGGCTCCAGGGGTACGAATCGCAATTTAACAATTTTGTAGCCTCATCTAACAAGGATGATTCTGACTAAGTTTGAAAAAATCCATCCACTGGTTCTTGAGAAGAAGTTGAAAATGTAAAAAGTTTACGCACGATGGACGACGGACGGAAAGCGATAATACGAGTCGATGAACTGCGTGCGTTTTGTGGTTATCTGCAAAGAGGTGAACATCTGAAGTCTGCAAGAACCGCATTTCAACACTCCCGCCAGGTCTGTGTTATAATTCTGTTCATGGTATTGATCGTTGCCAAGAACCTCATTGGAAACGCAAGTAAAGTTCACACAGCAATGTCCCGGACCAAGAGAGGTGTACGCAACCTGAAGAAGAAGGCTTCGCAACGCAGTACTGAACTGGTTGTCGAAGACAT